AACTGGACGCAACGATTCGGTTTGTACGTCTGCCGTGCCGACGAGCTCGCTTTGATCCACTGCGTTTGTGTATTTTGTTGGTTTGCCCAAGGACTTTTATTGGGACCAATCTATTTTTTCTATTAGTTTTGAATTTGATTTTCTATCCCTTTTAAAGTTGTTTTTTTTATTCTTTTGTATTAATTATGTTGAAAAGTGGGATTTTAAATTCTAAAATTATCCGCAGATCTGGATCAAAATTGAGAGTACCTATTCTTTCACTACTTCACTCAATATGATACGCCATAACAGATAAACGATAGGGTGCAATTCAAATATCCTTTGAAAACATCTGGCTCCCAGTATTCCTTTAAATATATTCTTATTTCCTACAGTTTTAATAACATTATCGAAGTATTAGCACAGTCTTACAAACACTTTTCGAATGGAGAAGCATTTAAGAGTATGCAGCACTTATCTAGCAATTTTTTCGAAGCTTCGAGAAGCCTTTATAATAGAATGTAAATGTAATGAGAAAACGTTTCGTTTATTTCTTGAACTGAAATAGGGCCTTTGTCTAAAGCACTCATGTCATTTGATTTGAACCTCTATTCTGGAAAGTTCTTCGAATTGGTATAATATTTATTTGGATCTACATTTCAATGAGGGTTTTGTGTTTGTGTGAGTTGTGAGAGGTGTTAGCTTAGTGTAAAGTTTGTAGACCAATAGACCGCTTGCTAATATAGTTTGAATAGCTGTAATCATAAGACCGATGGGACGAAATGTGTTAGTGGCGGCACCTAGGGTTAAAGTAACCAAGTTTACATTCGTCTTATTATGCATAGGGGGTATGTTTTTTCATGTTTCATAGGACCGTTTTGAAAGATCTTTGTGATTACAATTTCTTCGACTAACGTTTTTCTGATTCTGTTATTCATGCATCTTATTTTCTGATACTCAATCATTTTCACTTCTGGTGTAGCCGTAATATTTCTTTTCCCAAAGCCCAATCATCTAAATGCACTTCTTCCATAGTGCAAAAACCGATAATAAATCTTCATTCATCTATCCCAAACCAGGATACGTCCCAATTTTTCTACCAACCCATATCATAACTCAAAACAAAATACCATCGGACCCACCCATCGCTCAATTCCACAACTAAATTATTAAAGATAACGTTGATACCGCAACGTGCCTACCGTAATGATACATGTCGGTCCTTCACTTGAATAAATAATATCGCCAATCGTATTATTCACGATTCCAAATAGCATTTGGGTCAGTTTCGCGATTCCCGACTGAAATAGCGCGTTGAAAATGGACCACCATTTTGAGTCGATTTATGAATGGTCGACTGAACTGGCTATTTGGTTGCATTAGATATGTTCTAAATGAATGTGTGTTTAATTGAATTAATTGCTTGAATAAAGATAAATGGTTTAATTTAGGAATTTGTGATGGTGTCTTTCTCTTCTTTTTTATAACTAAGGGATGTAAACATATTTCAGTCACAATTGGTGTTCATGGCTTTTAGGCCTGTGTGATGATGAAGTAAACCTTGACCATCATAGACGTATTTTAAGATAAAAAGCAATTTTACAAAGCATAAAATTATATTTATGAGTAACTTCTGATTTTACCTATAAAAACCGAGGATTCAATAGCTCGAGGGAAAAGAAAAATACAAAAAGTTTATGTGCTTCCCAGTAACTGTAATGTCACTTTTCTCCTTTTAATATAATGTTATCTTTGTTTTTCTGTTCAGCAATATTTTATTTTTATTTTTATTTTATTTATTTATGATTTACCAACATTTGTTTACACCAATACAATTGTCGAGATACAAATGTGAGTTCTTAACAGTAAGTGTAACAAACACTTATAGGTAAATACAGCATTTACAAAATTATTATCCTACATCTAAAACAAACTTGATATGATTTTTTAAGAAAACTAAGTATATGAAATTAATTTTAAACACGAAAACAGTAACAAAAGAAACAATATAAAAAAAAAACAGTAAATTTTTCTCATGCGTGTGGTAACGACTTTTATACACTCGTAGATTTAGACACCATCAGTCAACTCTTTGTTGATAAGTGCTTCAACAGCGCAGACCGGAACCCAACCAACGATGACGCGTGAATATCCACTAAGTCACTGCAGTCGTTTAGCAATCTACTCAGCCTTGGTAATGGAGAATTAGCGCCCAAGACAGTCCTGCGACGAGGTGGATACAGAAGCGCGATACGGTTACGCGGGTATTTGGCAGGCACTCGGTAATTGACTTTTTTCAGAAGGGTTGGGCAATCTATTATGTTATTTATTAATTTATACATGAATAAGCAGTCAGTGATTTCCCTACGACTGCTTAGTGATATCATTCGATGTAACGTTAATTTACTTTTGTACGATGTTGTTTTTTTACTATTTTTAGCCAAATGCCACATAAATCGCTTCTGTATTCTTTCCAGTCTAAGTGAGTGTGTAGCAAAATGAGGCCTCCACACAACACTACAGTAATCCAAAATACTGCGTACGAGGCTGTTAAACAGTAATATTTTTGGACGACTACTGCGAAATACCTTTGTATTTCGCAGAATAAATCCCAACATTCTGGAAGCTTTGCCTATTATCATCTCTAAATGGGGTAGAAATGTCCTTTTTTTATCGAAAACCACGCCTAAGTCCCTTATTTGATCCACTTCCCGGATCTTTTGCTGATCTATATGGTAGCCTGAGTCTATTGGGTGTGTTTTCCTGGTGAATTTAATGTGAAAGCACTTTTTTATATTCAATTGCATGCCATTTCGGTCACACCACTGGACCAGACTGTCAATGTCACTTTGAATACAAATACAATCTTGAAATGATTCTACTATTCTTCCGAATTTCAAATCATCCGCATACATAAATTTCTCCGAAAAATGGAAACACTTCGGTAGATCGTTAACAAAAAGGTTGAACAGGACTGGGCCCAGATGTGAGCCCTGAGGTACTCCAGATGTAATATCTCGAGAGTCAGACTCAAATCCATTGACCACAACAAAAAAACTGCGTTCTTCGAGGTATGACTGCAACCACTTTAATAACGTCCCAGAAACTCCGTATGCCGATAGCTTAAACAAAAGTACTCTATGCGACACGCGGTCAAATGCTTTGCTGAAGTCGGTGTAAATTACGTCATACTGTTTGTTGGCATCTAAGGCCTGAGTAATTGTTTCCGAGAAAGTCACCAGGTTTGTGCAAGTTGATCTCGATTTAACAAAACCGTGCTGGCTCTCGTCAAGGTACAATTTCAAGTGATTTTGTATGTACGGACATAGTAATGACTCGAAAACCTTCGCGAAAGCAGACAAGATTGAGATAGGCCTGTAGTTATTAACTATTTTGTCGCAATCACCTTTGTGAATCGGTACAACCTTAGCTACTCTCCAGTACGCTGGAAATAACCCTGTTTTAAGGGACTTGTTAAATATGAAAGAGAGTGGCGCAGCCAGTGTTTTAGCACAAGCCGCTATAAACATAGGGGGGATCCCGTCCGGACCAGCACCCTTTGTACCATCTAACTTTTTCAATTTGGCTAATACTGTATTGTTATCAATCATTGGCGATGTCAAGCTTAGACTGTGCCTGTGCATATTCATCAAAAAGTCAGAGATGCTGTCAGTCTCCTGCTTACTAATTTGGCCATATACAGAAGAAAAATAGTTAGCAAACATTTCGGACATGCTCTGTCCATTCGAAGCTATGGTATTCCCATCGGTTAACGATACTGGAAACGAGCTTGAGCCTCCACGTTTTGTTTTTATATATGACCAGAAAAATTTGGAGTTTCTAGTTATCTTATTCTCCAGATCCTTGACGTATTGGTTATAACAAGTTCTCGCCATACCCAAGCAACGCTTACTTATTAATTTTAATTCTAATTCATCTAGTGGATTCTTGTATTTTTTAAAGCGACATCTCAATTTATTCTTTTCCTTCAATATTCTTATCAATTTACGATCAAACCATGGGGGATATTTACTACGTTTATTGCTACACTTGGGTACGAATCTTTTAATAGCTGTCCAAATAACATTGTAGAATACTGTTACAGTTTCATCGACATCATTCGTGTCATTAAAAACCTCAGTCCAAACCTGTTCCGATAGATATTTATTTATATCTGCGTAATTTGCCTTATAGAAGCTATATTTTACGTTGCCAGTGTTATAAGAAAGTTTTGTATCACTCGATAATGGGATCCGTATCTCCAGTGGTGGATGCAACTTGTCTACTGTACTCAGGATAATATTAGATTCTTCAACACTACAAGATGAAAAACTCGTCAGCACCAAATCAAGTACGCGGCCTGATTTATTGGCTACCTTATTAAATTGATTCAGCCCATTTAAATTTATGAAGTCAATCAACGTCTGACTTATTGTGGGCATTTGACACTCAACAACCCCACCGCCTATCAGGCTCCAGTCTATGTTTCCCTGATTAAAATCACCGATAATACAGGTATTAGCTACATCCGAGTTCTCGAAAACTACATTACAATGATCCAGAAAATTATCCAACATTGTTAAATTCAGTGGTGGAGGTAAGTAAATCGCGCAAAGAGCTACCCGACTCACAGTGCCAGCGGTGGGTATTTCAACTGTGACCCAAAGGTCCTCACAGTTACTGTCCCATTTACACATGCGTTCCGACTTAATTTTTTTGGAGATAGCAATTAAAACTCCTCCACCGTCTTTTGTATTATGAAAACCAGTGTCTTCCCTATCTCTTCTATAAACGTTATATCTGTCGTCGAATAGCTCACTACTCAAAACACCGCCATTCAGCCATGTCTCCGTTAAAACCACTATGTCATAATCACAACAACCCAACCGACAGTAAAAATCATGAGTCTTAGTTCGTAAACCACGAGTGTTTTGGTAATAAATAGTAAACCAGAACTCCGATAACCTATAATACTAATACATCAAAAAGAAAAAAGAGGGAAAGTGGAGACAACATATATACTAAACAATCTTTTCCAAACTTGACATATTTCTCACCAAGATATACTCATCTCCATCAGACTTCCTTACAAAAATCCTTCCCTTTCGCACCCAAACGTGTTTATATCCCTTCTCCTTAGCTCTCACTCTAGCAGCAGCATGCAGAGATTTATTAGCCGGAGATAGGTGTTCAGTCACGAAGATAGGAGTCGTTTTACCAGCAAGGCCCAGCAGCAAGCTGTTCACTTTGTTGGCGGGATTAGTTTTGTTGTAGTTTGTAGTCGATGCAAGGATCCGATCTCTGATTCTAGGCGACCCCAGTTGTACAACTATTGATCGAGGACGTGCCGATTTCTGGTCTTGCTTGAATGTGCGGGTACAATTCAGGATATCTTTTTCTTGGATATCGCAACCCACTACATTACCCAGTTTGGTGACTATCTGATAGAGATTCTCCTTCTTATTCTCCGGCACGCACTGTAATTCCAAGTTACAAGACCTGGCGTGTTGTTCCAGCTGGCTCAAGCGCGTGCCAAAGTCGTCAAAAGAGGTTTTCATCTTCGAACTATCCGCTATCAGGTTCTTTATATTCCGCTTAGACTCCTCAAACTCCCTAACGATGTCCTCGCAACGTTGGTTCAAAAAACTCATGGAGGCCGCCATTTCCGACATTTCCTCCTTAATAGGCTTAAGTTGCCGGTTAATAGTCTCGGATATGGTTTTGTTAATTTTAAGGAACAGATCGTTCATATGCTTTGAAATTGCCTCTTCGATTGTTCTACCAATGTGTTCTCGTTCAATTGATAAAGTCGAGCACGGTTGCGGCGGGGACGCCAATGCCGGTCTTTTATTTGCTCTGGTAGCACTGGTGTTACGTATGGGAGTATGATCATTTACCTTCGGCTTAGGCTTGAGGATCGTGCATGCTGGGCAAATCCATGACTTCTGTTTATCCACAGACATTGAATTTTCTTCAATTAACAGGCAGACATAATGAAAAGCTTTGCGGCATTTAGAACACTTTATAAAGTGTTCTTCTAAAAGGTCTTCTCCGCAACACCCCCACGAAATGGTTTTATTCAACTCTTCAGTCATTGCAGTCGTTAATAATCGTTAAGTTGTTGTTATTAAATCTTTGCACGTCCACTCAATCAATCCAAGCTTGTGCCGCCGTTCGGAACTAAATAATTATAAGAATCCAGTTTATTGCCGCCGTTGTCGCTTGTCCAGCGCGGGTTGCCCTAGGTCAGTGCCGATTTTAATTTATGTAGGTGTTATGATTTAATCCTCATTCACTTTTATATTATCTTCGGTAATTAATATAACGAATCGTTCACTTTCACTTAAGTTTACATTGTACATGAAGCAGACAAGCACACACAAGAACAGTTCACTTTCCCAGCCTTAATGTCTATTTTAGCGCAAGATTATGAATTAATTTGTGAGAACGCTAGTAAAACACGTCTGTAATACTATAACGTCCGACACGAGAGGATTGCAAAGTTAGCAAAAGCCATTTGGTTCCCTCAAAAAATTCCACCTCCGTAGTTCCTAGCTCGTGATACTTTTCTTTACGGTAAGTAACGAAATAAAAACTTTAACACCACATTGCGAGCCTGATCTAATTGCTGGTAAAGTTAGTTCCTTCGCAGGCTTCTTAGATCTAAGTAGCACCTTTACAAGTTTCTGGAAACACACTAAAACTATAAAGACATTAGGCACCTACCTAAAATTAGGATTGAGATGGGGGATCCCTTTTATAGCTTCGTTAGTATCTGTTTCTCTTCTCTAATTTCGAACATTAATTTTCGAGAAGTTTATTTTATCACGAAATACCTATAAAGTAAAATTAATTAGTTCTATCAAAACTCGAAACATATTAAATTTTATGACTACAATTTTGTTCAGAACAATTTATAACTAGCTAACATCGTATGCGTCAAAAACACCCTTGACAAAAAACTTGTCAAAACAATGAACGCGAATATCTGCTGCGAATTAATTAACGTAAGCCAAACACAAACTACGGATGGAAAACAGCGATATAATAAAACAGAAATTAGAAAATTAAATTTCAACTAAATCCAAAGCGCTGTGGTAGTGTCAACAGACGAAATGGATAAAGTTGGTAAGTGCTTTAATGCAATCGTACAGTCGAGCTGCACTTACTGTGAATTTAAGTGGTCTTTTGTACATGTACAAGCTCGGCTATAATTATATTGTGTTGGTCATTAATTCTTTAAGTTAACCGTGGACTGTTAGTCGGATGCGGTCCACGTAGCTACCTCACTCTGTATGAAACCACATATGTTCTGCAGGAACATGACTATTCGGGGGAATTGTATCCAGGTGCAACGTATTAATTCAGCATTTTAATTACAAGTTTCTAATTGTAGAAGCTCTCATGCATACGGCCACGTTTGAATGCATGCGCTGTTGCACGTGTTTTTCATGACAATGAATTCGTTTACATTATACCCTTATCTCTGTTTTCGGTTTAACAAAGCGCCTATGTTAAATGCGAAAACAAACATGGAGTGGTCCGGTCGCCGCTCATAATTAAATATTTAGGTAGCTTGACTTGTGTTATACAAGGCGTTCTTTTAAAGCCGCGTCATTTTCTAGGAGGTTACACGGCTATCGATTCTGAAAACGAATCAATAAAAAAAATTGTAAGTAAATATTTTTCATTTTTCTGTATATTACGGAAATCCGTAAGTGTGAACTACACGCCGTCGTCTTGTAACTAGCTTTATAACGCGGCTCAACACACACAAACTCAAACACGTAATTTTTTTTTGTCTTTTTTTTTTTTAAAAAAAACGTTGCCCCACACTAGGATTATCTCCTGTGTCGTGGGTGCGTTTACAAACATACAAGTTCACATACACAATGACACCCAGACCCGTTCCGTGCGGGAATCGAACCCGCGACACGTTGCATGGCAGCCGGTTGCCCAGCCACCGCACCAACCGTGCAGTCTATTGATATTATTCCTAATTCCATAAAACTCCAATGAGAAACATTGCTGTCGCTTATGCTGAATTACTGTCGAACTTAAACGATTTATTATAGCCGTATTTTTAACTATTGGCCCAAAAATTTCTCTTACATTGAACCCTTATGACCTTGTGACATGCCCCCGAGAAATGACACGGCTTCAAAACTACATCTTGTATATTATGAATTGTCATCAATAACAATATGTAATCAAAGGTACTCAGTATCTGAGTATTGATGCATCAATCATGTTTTTTAGTGTTCATAGTCATATCGCTGTACGAAAAAGTAATATGAATTTAAATTGAAATTAAGTCCGACGGAATCGGAAAGGCTATTAAAATTTTAAAATTTGTTCTCCGCCCTCCAGCTATGGATGGACATGTCCAATGTGCATTGATAATGACAGTATGAGCCAATCGTAATCTCCGACGTGTCTGCTTCAATTAATAATTGATTTTCAAAGCCTTTTTTAAACTGTTCATTTTTTGTCGTGTGAGGATTCATATTTAATTAAAATGCAAGGAAGGGTCGTTAAAGGACGACAAGATAATGTTTTTAGACAATAATTTTTCTTTTAGATTGACATTTTATGTTCGATAGGAACATTTTATCGATAGTACATGGGTTTATTAATTTTCAAAATTTATTGTTTACTAGCTGACCCGGCAAATATTTTTCTCACCTTTTAAACCTTTCCTGGACTTCCACGAACATTTGAAGACCAAAATTAGCCAAATCGGTTCAGACGTTCTCGAGTTTTAGCGAGACTAACGAACAACAATTCATTTTTATTTATATAGAAGATAGAAGATAGATAGATAATACTTTATGGAAATGTTACATCTATACAGATAAATAAAATTCGAGTGTCTGTTTGTAATATTAAAATAACCGTTTTTTACTTAATAGAATACGCATATATGTACATGCGATACACATACCAAAAAAACAAATTATTTACAAATTTTGTCTGTCTGTCCGTCTGTATTTTTGTCTGTTTGTACTGGCTAATCTATGGAATAGCAGCACCGTTTTTGACGGGACTTTTATTAGCAGTTAGCTGATATACTAAGGAGTAACATAGGCTATTTGTTTTGGATTACTTTAAAATAATAGAAGAATGTCCTAAAATACATATTCTACGCGGGCGAAGTACGGCCTTCATCAGCTAGTATCCAATAAAAGGTTAATAAAAATATTATACTTCTGTGTCTGTTTAAGGACAGTAAAAATATTTGTTTACCTATTATGACCTACTGATCAAGTTATAAGTATTGATTAGTTTATTTTGGAATTGTGATTATATTTTTAAACTAAGTATCTACTTCATTCATAAACTCTAAAATTCAACAAGTTAGATAAATTATTTTTGAACTTCACTTTGAATTCATAGATAATGCTTTCATACAAACACGAAAATGTATTTAATTTCCTAGCTAGCTGGAGTCAGTATTCTGTAAGCATTGCAGTATAAACAAATATTTTTACATAGTTCATTAAACAGGCGAGATTTATGCATTAATGTCGTAATATTTGCATGATGTTTGACGCCATCGTCGGATCCAAGCCATAAAAATGGACAAGAGAATACGCTTAGGATTATTAACAATTCAAATCTGGAGTGACACTGGTCTTTTGCGTTTTGACTAAAGAATTTGTTATTAAACTGTCAAACACCAAGCGGTCACCGGTGACCGCAGCCTATTGTTCTATAATTGTGTCTACAAAACCGGTACTCGACGAGTTAAATATACACGATTGCTATGAATGTAAAAATACATAGTTTATTGCCAGACTATAATAAATGACTATGATAACTGATCGTATCGAGATTAATAACGTAAACTAGGCATTTGGTAAATATTAAGGTTTTCGGCTTACTTACGTAATTATTTGACGAGGAATTCGACTAGTTTCAAGCTATGGCTTGAGGCTTTTTTTTAAGGGGGGGGGGGGGGGAAATCGTCGAATGTCTTCTCCCGCCTAGGTGAGACGGGAGGGAGTGTCAGACTCTTACTGACTAAAAGCCACCCCGTTTCTTACTCCTGCACTTCGAGCCGGAGTCCCGGTAATCCGTTAAGTTCTCCGCGGCTCCGAATCGGCATTAGCCCTATTGGGCCCTATCCGTGGTGGTCTGATGGCTCTTTGAGACGCGTGCAGAACGCGACGCACCGTACGTTCGGGTCTGGTTTTGGTCGGGCGGCGAGCCATCTATGCTTGCCGTCCGCAGGCTCGCGCTTACGGTGGCCGGAGATCGTATGACTTGAGGCTAGAAGCTCATATTCCACGACAGTCGCCGCATACTGCTTACGTGAGTAATCCGAAAATCATAATCATTAATTTAGTATGTCTCATTAAATGTATAATATAAATAGGCATTAGGTACTTCAGCATGTAGCAAGCATGTCCAGAAATATTATGATGTCTGTGCAAGCATGAGATATTTGAAAAACATGTATTATTGGTTGCTTAAAGTAACAACTAGAATAATATCTAAAATCTACTATCGCTACATAATATATCTTCACAAACCATGGTCTTAACTAAGTCAAAATCACGCTCGTCATCACATTTCTATTACCCGTCTATAATTGATGAAAGCACGCTTCCGAATTGATGTAATCAATTGTTTTCATGTAGCAATTAATGCTAACATCAGCAATGGTCCTTATTTTATCTTACGCTTGAATATTGATCCTTACAAACATATCCATAGGTTCGTAGCATAATAACTTGATTATAAGTAAATTGTGAAGGAAAACGCGCGATTTCAAAAACATTTAATTATGATATTTCAACACGATGGTTGGCCAGCGCACTATCGAATTACTTTGTCGCAACGCCTGGGTACGTCGTTTCTAAGGCGTTGGATTAGCAGGGGAGTCCAATTCCATGGCCCGCATCGTTTTCAGACCTAACACTAGTTGATTTTTACGTGTCCCCCACCCGTAAAAATTTGC